TTATACCATAAACCAGTGTGTGTGAAATCCTGGCCCCATTGAAATCCAGGACAAAACTCTTGTTAACTGGTTTATTTACTGTAGACTGATCAAAATCCTAATGAGGAATCACTCACAGTGTTTGATTTAACGGGGATCCGTCCTGCCAGGTCCACGTCCTCCCTGGGGATGTGATGTTAAGTCCAATCCACACCTGATGTTGGTCCCGTGTAATATTCCCTATGGACGCCTGTGAAATGGACGACATGTCAGAGTGACCAGAACATGCTCTGATTCGCTATCCCAGTTGCTTGCTGTGCACATGGGACCTCATCTCAACCGTGGTCAGGGTCAAGGGGCAGACAAATCTACTAGGGACATGACTCAGTCTGGGTTGGATTCAGTAGGGGAGAAAAGGGAGGGGAATGAGAAAAAAATTCAACATTTTTCAGTTGTATACAACTGAAACGAAAAGTTGGGTTCATTTTCACAACAAAAGTTTCTTGCAAAAAGTACCAAAATGTTTCTTTAATTTCCCACTGGAGGGAAAACTGTGATTTTGGACCAGCTGTAATTAATAGCAACACACATCCTGCAGTTGAATATAGCACGTTCTTTACCATCTCCTCCCGGTCATGGATCACTAGCAGTTGTGCTCTCTTCATTAAACAGTCGTCACGGCTCCACTCCCAGCCTTTAATAGCTGTAGAAAACCAGTAACACTTGTTCCCATGCAGCAGCCAGTCCTTGGGGCAGAGTTTGCAGCTGGAACCCTCTGGAGGGGGAAATGGAAGAGAGGTGTCGTTAATGATCATTCTGAACAGGGCTGACCACCTTTACAGAGATGCATGGAGCCTTCACGCTCAGGGCTTTACTGAGCCCAGGACTGGGGCCTAGCGGCAGAGACGGGGTGAGTATGTGGGCGAGATGGGATCAGTATGTGGGTAAGAGTAAAACATCAGTCGGTTTGGACCCCAATGTCCCAGCAGCAGGGGGGCGCTGTGCTGCAGGGAGCAGGGTGGGGGCTTGGTAGGAGGCGTTCTCTCTTTGCAGTCCGTGCTGGGTGCAATGCCCCAGAGTGGGGCTAGTGGGTGCTGTAGGGAATGAGATTGGGGTTCGTGGCTGCTCACACGCAGGGCTGACCCCCTATGCCCCAGCACTGGGGAACGCTGTGCTGCAAGGAGTGGGATGGGGGACTCTGTAGGGGGCGCTCTCCGCTCACAGTCAGGGCTCACCCCGGTCCCATTGAACTAGGGGGTGCTGTGCAGCAGGGAGGAGGGGTGTCTGACTCAGTAGTGGGGGGATCTTGACTCCATACCAGATGCTGTTCCCCAGGTGGTGCCATCTTTCAGGTGAAGGATAATATAGAGACGCAGAGCTCTGGTGATCATTAGAATGAAGGTTGGTCTTGTGGTTGAGACCCCGACCTAAGACTCAAAAGAGCCGTGTTCTGTTCTGGGCCCTGTCACTAGCCTGCTGTGTCCTTGGGCAGGTCATGGCCTGCCCTGTGCCTCAGTTTCCCCTTCTGAGTGTCTTGTTTATTTACACTGTGAACTTGTTGGGGCCGGGGCCATCTCAGCGTCTCTTGGTCCCATAAAAAGAAGAACAGGAGTACTTGTGGCACCTTAGAGACTAACAAATTTATTAGAGCATAAGCTTTCGTGGACTACAGCCCACTTCTTCGGATGCATATAGAATGGAACATATATTGAGGAGATATATATACACACATACAGAGAGCATAAACAGG